GCTGGACATTGATGAGAAATGTGGACAAATTTCAATTGTTTTATATATATATATATATATATATATAGGAGATTGCTATGAAATCCAGAAACAAACTGTATTGATCTTTGCATTATTTCTAGTCATTGGCCAAAGAAAGCCAAACTCCTACTCAGACTGTCATAAATTGTATCCTACAAAGGGGAAAGAGAATGTTTTCTGTTGCACAGCTGGAACAGACTGGCCACACTCAGGCGCAAATTGAGTCCAGAGGTAACCTCCCAACCCAACTCTCACTGGAAGTGAAAGTGCCCCCACCCTAAAGTTCTAACCATCTTCATTTGCGATGAGACATACTATTACCATCCCCTATGCATTCTGAAGTATATCACCCTGGTAGGTTTTCTTATTTGTTTCACTCCAAGCAAGGCAATAATGCCCCTAAGACACAAATGAACTAGAGATGAGATAAAAGAAATTATTGATTAACAAGCCACATTATCCTAAGAATCTATTCAGGTGAGAGGGGGTCAAGGTATTCACTATAGTGGCAGAGGTAGATTCAACCCTATTTCATAGTATTTCTTTCAATTCAATTTAGATTTTATAATGCACTCTGGTGACAAGTGTTGAATGCATCAATAATATAAAAAAAAGAAAAAAGGAGTATAAAAATAGTTTGTTATTTCCTTTGTTAGACATTTAGATTAGACCACAGAATTAGAGTGTGCACCTCTACCATGATGACCTATCTAAATAACTTCATTATATTTTCTATTACCTACAAAGGTCATAAATGTTGACACTTAATATTTCTTGGATAAAAAAAATGATGCAAATAAAATATCATTTTCATGATAAACAAATCCTCAAAACTGATGTTTCTGCACTGTCCAAATTAACTTTCTGTACAAAGTTAGAAGCTGAAGCAAGAAATTCCATGGTGGCCTGCAGTGTGTCAAGAAACAAGATTTAACCCTAAACCAAGAGGCAAGCATTCCACGTGAAGAATTAAAAACCTATTCGCAAACAATTAGGAGATTGGGGTAGATGCTGATGAAGAAATTCTCCTACAACACATTTTAAGAGCTTCATAAATTGTCCGACTGCAATTTCTCATTTCCAAAATGTTGTTTATAGATTTAGTTTATGAGTATTTCAGGTTTTACTCCAATGAAATAAGCCAAATGAAGAATTAGTCAGAAAAAAAAAAAAAAATTTACACATCAGCCATTGAGCTTTTGGTCAGGCATCTCAAAACCCAAAATATTGTCCAGATTTGGCTGAAGACAAAAATAGAGGTGTGGCCATTTCTGTGCATCTTGTAAACTGAAGTGCCAAAAATTTGAGATAGCATCATACTTGTAGTGTGATCATTGGTAAAACTACCGAAAGAACAGAAACATTCCATGACATCATCTTCCAACTGATCAACCAATGCAAGCATAGAAAACATTTTGTTGTCAATCAACATGGGCTCCGTTATTGACAGTGCCCATTGGCTACCATGGAAAGAGCATATTGCAATTGGACTATGAAAGATCGACACAGATTTGCTTATTTAGAAAAGTCAGGTTTATAACTCATTCGGGCACATGGTTAAGCTCATTTTTTGAGTGGACTGCATAAGGGTATGGATTCAGCCCGCAAAGTGGTGGTGGTGTCTGTGTAGCAGTTGTTTTCTGCCACATATGTAAAAGGAAAATGAAGAAATTAATGTTTCTTCTGCCTAGAAAGAAACTACACCATTTGTTGTGAAGATGCCCCCTTTCGGGGGTAAACAATTCAAACATTTCTCTTTGTAAATCGAAAGCACAAATGGGTAAAAACATCATCTGTTCAGCCAACAAGTTATGAGTAGCACATTAAAAATATTATAGATTGAAACCTATAACACTGGAATTTTTTAAACCTATAATTAATACTGTAGGTTTGTACATAATAATGGATTGTTTTTATTTTTTATAAATCATGGATTTTACAGCAGGCATAAAAGAGTTAAGAGAACACTATGAAACAAAAGTGGTTCAGTCTTTTTGTCCATCTGCAATAGAAGAGTCACAATTATTATTGACACTATCCTTTTGAAGATAAAAACTGACATACCACTGTCTTGATTGATTTATTTTCTATGGGTTATCAACCCTTTGCAGGTTATTTAAAGCCAGAAAATATTTTGAGATTGTAAGGATTTTTTTTTGGAGAATTTCTGAGGGATACAAGTCTTACTAATTAAACATAGCTTTTAAAACAAAAAACAGGTGGATTCATGCCCTTCCCAAAGATATTTGTATATCTACTTTAAGTTTCTTATACAACAGAATAAAAAGTGAAAATTGGTTTTACAAATATAAAAAAAATTATTTAATAGATTTGGGATTTCACTGCAACTGGGAGGGGGGGGGTATAAAATCGTGTCATGCAGTGTTTAACAAAACAATTACTGGAGAAACCTTTCTGCAATATGCTAACACTCAAACACTTTTTGATTGAACAGAATCAAGAAGAGTTAGTCTTAAAAGCTATATGCAGTTCAAGAAATCATTTAAGGGTTGGAAAGAAACCAAATCCTAAAAGAGAAAAATCAATTGAAGCTAAGCAGAATAACAACAACAACTTACCTGGATTTTTATACTTATTTAAAATATATTTGCCTCTGCATATTTATAATTTTAAGAAAAAGAAAAAAAAAGATCAGTGGGCTTAATCTTACCGATTATTTAATGAGACGACCATTTTCTAAGAAACTGCAAAATGATTCTTAGATTTCCTCTGTCCAAATGTTTTGAGATTACAGAAAGCCTTTGGGAAGGATTTTACTGTAATTCAAGAAAAGACAATGTCACGGTGAAGATTCTTATAGAAAATAAGTTGTGTGATAAACATCTTGTCACACTACCTCATGAATAGTGGGAAATTTGCAACAGACGTCACGTTCAAATTGTCTTAGTACCTTTTCTACAGGTGTGATATTTGTGAGTGAATACATAAATGGTAATTTCTTTTCAAAACAAAGCCTACTCATGAATGTTAGATTAAAGATTTAATGCTTTAAACTGATCAAGTTTATCTTGCAATCAACAAGAGTTGAAGCAAAAACAATGTTAATTGCAACTAAGGACATTAGTGTCACTTAAAGGAATAGTTTCTTCTTCTGGCCATTTTGGTGTTAAGAGACCATCAAATTTGCTTCCATCCATTTGCAAGACTTCTTCAAAATTTGTCTGAAATTTAACACTGCCAATGATGAGGATTTGTTCCTTAACAATTGTACATTCTGGACTGTCTCAGAGGAGGAGAAAGAGTTAAAAAAAAAAAAAAAAAATGCAGGTTTTATTGTCCGTATGGATCCTTGAACATTTTCTTTGAGACTGATGAGTAGGAATATTCTTCATAAAGTCACTTATTTGAATACTGGTAGAATGGTGCTTGCAGAAATGTGAATCAGTATTTTAAAAATGATTTAATACTATAAACATTATTTTAGCAGATATCCATGTTTGAGTAGCTATCTGAAAATAATGTTTAGTATAATAATAGATTAAAAATTAAAAAAAAAATCCCTCAAGCACATTTGTTAACTAGCATTTCACAGAAACTATCAAACGCTTAAATGTGTTTTAAAATGATCATATTGGCCATTTTGCAATAATAATAATAAAAAAAAAAAAAAAAAATTAACTTTTGACAAAATGGGGATATTTACTAAAAACCAAAAGCAAATATAAAGGAGATAGGAAAAAAAGAAAAAGAAAAAAATCTTCTAAAAGATGGGCCAAGCTAAAAAGAAATAAGGCTGGAGTGGGAGGGTAAGTTTCACCAAAGCATTGAAGCAAAGAGAGGAAGGGTTATGAGAAAAAATTATATTAAATTGATCATAAATTTAATTTTTTTTTAACCTTCAAAAGGTTTAAAATGTTTCTTCATGCAAATATTAGAATATGGGGTCAAGTAGAGAAAAACTGAATGCACAAGTTATTTTTCTTTTGTCCTTGAAAGTGACTAGAAATGTTAAAAAGTAATTTATATTTTTATAAGGAAAGAATAATTAGTAAAGCCATCCAACATTTCAATACATTTTTATTTGGCCATCTTAAGTTAAAAAAATAAATAAATCAGGACACACAATGAATATCTGAGGCCAGTTTTCATTTCTTAACAAGATGGCTTGTACATTTGATAATGTAATTCTTTGGAGTAAAAAAAAAAAAAAAAAAGACCTTTTTTTTTTCTTTTTTTTTTTAAAGACGCCAAAGAAAAACCTTTTATGCAAATACTTTATGCCAAATTGTCATTGATTTTCTGGATGTTTTCTAAATGACAACTTTCAAGAGAAGGTAAGTGTTACTCGAGATATTTGTCCAGCTTGTCTCCAAATGTCAGGCCAACAGATAATATTAAGTTACACAGTACCAAGAGCAAACGAGCAGCCGGAACTCGATTCAAAGCTGCTTGATTACTTTTCATCCTGAAATGTTTTATGCTATTTGAAAATTATGATCTGTCAAGTAGAAAGGGAATGTTTCAGTTGAAATCTTACAGATGAACAACATCCAAATTTTAGATAAATAATTGGCACTTATATATGCATAATAATCAAATCAGATGTGGGAAAATTGTTTGAAGATCATCACTAACCATTCCAGAAGGCATTTAGCTTTGAGAATCATCTAGAGGGAGAAAAAAAAAAAACACTTAAGAAAATGGCCAATCATCTTCCAGGCAAAAAGTTACTGCCACTTAATTCTAGACATTCCAAGTTACATACCAAGTGTTCTTTAATGTAGACTAAAAGATATGTTTAATATAAAAAAAATAAATCCATACTTCCCAACCATTAAAAAAAAAAAAAAAAAAAAAAAAAAAAAAGAATATAAAAAAAAAAAAAAAAAAAAAAAAAAAAGTGCAAGATGAGAAAGAAAGAAAAGGAGAGAGAGAGAGAGAGAGTCACCAACGGCCCAACACAGTGTGGACAGTTGGGGGCAGGCTGAGCCAGCCCAACAACAACTATTTGTTGTGACCTAACCTACTTGCCTGCTGAGCATGACAGACAGCCCATCACTGAAGCACCAGGCCACTCTCCCTGTAAAACCTAGGGAAAACAGGAGGGACAAATAAGTAGCTGGAATCCTTTGATGGGACACACACGACACACCCAATCCAATCTTACATCTCTTTTGCTCACTGTTCAATAATTCATTTGTTAATTTGTGTTCCCAACACAAATCAACAACTTAACACATTGTGAAAAAAAAAAAAGAAAAACAAAAACAACAGCAAGAAACAGAAAAGCAAAAAATATTTACAATTCAGTATAAAAAGAAAAAAAAAAGAAAAGAAAGTCTAACATCTATTTTATCAAATATCAGATTGTGTTGTTTTTTTTAATTCCTTAAAGACTTACCAATTTGTAAAATAAGGAATTTTTTTTTTTATTCTCTATGAATTGTAAATATTTTGTTTTATTTCCAATTATAAATATGATGATCACTTCATTACAAAGAAAACCATTTGTTTTGTGTTTTTGCTCTGCCTCAAGATGATATGCCCAGTGTTTTGATAAATCTGCTGTGAAAAATATTGATTAATCTGGGAGACTATCATTCTGTCATCTATACCATTCAATTATTTTTTTTTTTAACAGTAAAAAAAAAAAAAAAAAAAAAAAGTGAAGCTAAGTATAGAAAAAAAACAAAAAAACAATTATTAATTGATGCCACAAAGGAAAGGAAAATGTTTAAGAATACGAAAGAAGCTTCCTTCTAAACAATCCAGCTGGTACATTTGAAGTTGGTATTTTTGTGTGATAAGAGTACAGGTGTCAAATTGGTAGGCTCATCCTGTAACCAATCTTCCACAGAAAATTTCAGCAAGAAATACTGTTGAGTCAATAACTCAGTGGCAAAAATAAACCACAGATCAAAACAAAATGCTAAGTAGTAACCAAAGAAAAAAAATATTTCTGTGATTCAAAAGAAAACTAATTTAAGGAATTTTCAATCATTTGAACATTAAAAGAAAAAAGCTCAAGTATTTGATAAGAGTGCCTGGGTAAGCAGTTTTTTGCATAAAGAACTGATTTCAATTCTGAATGGCCATCTTTCTCATCCTGAATTGTAAAAATAAAAAAAATAAAATAAAAAATAGCAACCTATTTTACATTTATTCTTTGTCTTTCTGGTGCTATAAGCAAAGGATGATGGAAGGCACAGGAGGACAAATAGAAATTTTGGGATTAAGAAATTAATTTCACTCCTACTGAAATAATTTCAATGATTTACAAGCACTGAAATTAAAAACAAACAAACATTAATTTAAATGCTGCCATCAGTTTGAGAGATTCTAATCATTACAGACATTTTGCTAGAGAAAGTGTTAAATGACCGTTAGTGATATTCTTGGGATTCAGTTTCTTGTTTCCTTTTCCCTCTCAACATTCTAGAACACAACAGATATCTTGGGATAGGTCAGAGGGATTGTGGCTGAAAACCCACACAGAAGCATTCAAAATTATTTGATTTGTAGCAAAGTTTCAAGGAAACAATAAAAAAGTAATATGGTGAAAAATGTTTTTTTTTTAAAAGTTTTTCCTTGTTCCTTTTTGAAAATAAAATTCAAAAGACTAGAGTTTAATAACAAACACATTTTCAATAGTTATAAAACTTATATGTAGATGATATATTTGAAGAGGTAGCCAACCATATTGTAAGGAAGCATTTCTCAAATTAATTATGCATGATGTCATCGTAAAAGATTTCATTATCTCCTGCTTTCTAAAGGACAAATATTGAAAAACTACAAAATATTGCTTGAAAAATGGAACCCATTTGTATCTATTAACTTGAAATATTTAACAGGAATATTCAAATAATTGTGGTGATGCCTAATTGCATCAGTGGGCTTTGGAAGGGAGGGAAAGAAAAGGAAAAAAAACAAAACAAAAAAACCCTATATTTGACAAATATTAACTGAGAGCAAAAAACAATTTCTGAGAATTAACTTCATCAGTTAACAGCCATCCAGGAAAGCATTTTGTGTGGCAGTTATTAAATCCTTAAAACAGCTAATAATAATATTTCTGAATATTCAAAAATGTTTCTCAATTTTTCCATTCCTCATCTCTTAAGATGCACAAGTTCCAGTTTGACATGTCAGACAAAATTAAGAAAATGATTCAATGATTATGAGAAACAGTTAAAATTTTATCAAATATATTTCCTTTAAGTCAAATATTTTTTTCTCTTCTAAACATTATTCTTAAGACTGTAGATAAAATTTGGCTTACCTAGAAAAAAGTTACCTGAAGATGGGTAGTGAAAAGTGGTTAACCTAAATAAAAAAAAGAAAACCCATCAATACCACTCTTTGATAAGAAACCATAATTTATTTTTATTTTGAGCCTGAAGATTAAAAGGTTAGGAATATAAACATTAATAATAATAATAATAAAAAAAAAAAAAAAAAAAAAAAAAAAAAAAAGGTAGGCTTTGCCATGAGGGAGGAAGGCGGTGTCCATTCTTCACAATTAAAACTGAGTCATTACTTTATTTTCAAAATGAAAATGTTTTAGATAAAATTACAAAGTAGAGGACACAAGAAATGCATGGCAAAAATTGTTTAAGGGGGAAAAAAAAAACAAAAACTCATGCATGCCAGCTTAGCATTTACATCAGAGGGGGTTGGGAGGAGGGTTCCACGTGCAACCCACCAATAAAAAACAAAAACAGAACACAAGTTAGACTTCATCCTACAGAGTGGGACTTGACTCACCTTGGACAATGCATGTTCTTCAGGAAAGTCTCCAAGATCAAGGCACCATTTTTTTTTTCTATAATAATAATAATCTTCTTTGCCTTGAACAAAATGAAGAAAGAAAAATGGATGGCCTGAATCGTTTTGTCATTAAAAATAAAAGGATATAATAATAATAATAAGAATAATAAAATTATATAGAAAGATCCGGGATTAACAAAAGGCAAAGTTATTGGTTATTCCTAATGAGGCCAAAAAACAATTTTGGATTTTTGAAGCAAAACTTGAGGAAAAGATTCTTGGTTATGTTCCAACTAGTGTGTTGCTTAAAGAAAAAAAAAATATCAATCCATCTTCTCTGATTGTCATGGACATTTATTTTTTTTGTTTCTTTTTAAGAGTTCTTTTTGCAATTGTTGTATACTTGATAGAAGCACTTTCATTAATAACAGATGAATTCTCCAGGTTTCATTATTAGTTTTAATTATTTTTATTTTAGTGCTACTTTGTAACCAAACTATTCTTTAGTTTTTCAAATGAGAATTTTAGAAATCAAAGGCAATTTGTCTTCCCTGCTTTACTACAACTAATACATTTATAGGTCAGCAAGAAGCCAGTCTGGAAACAAAAAAAAATATAAAGAAGCTTGTTTTGTCATAAAGAAAAAAAAAATTAGTAGACCAATTGGTAAAAGTGCTGCCACAAGGAATAAACACACTTCAAATGGAAAATGATAACATGGCTGCCAGATTCAGCCACAGGGAATGAATTGAGATACAGTTGAAAGGCTAAAATCACTAAATGTTCAATTGACTCTCTTCTCATTTTAAAGGTAGTAGTCTTAAAAGGAGCCTGAAAAGTAGGGAAATTCAAAATTTGCCCATCGCACGAGAGGTCTTGTCCAAAAGGGACTCTCCTAATTTACTCCTGTACATGTATATATCTCCAAACAGCCTTTGTCTGAATAAATAATAAAAAAAAAAATATCCCTGTGCCATTGAAAACCTCTTTTTAGGATGGACATTTGTTTTAAGCTCCATATTTCTTGAAGAAAAAAAAAACAAAAAACAAAAAAAACCCAAAAAACGACATTTTCGCCATTATCATTTGTGGTCCGAGATTCCCCCCAAAGAATTATGAAGGCTAACATCATTGTAGTTCTGATCACATGCACACACAAACATGTTTAAGTGATTTTTAGCTAGCAGGGTTTCTGGCCTTCCCCATGTATTTGTTTCATTCAAGAAATTTTGAATAGAACCCTTGAGATTTATAAAGAAAAGTTTTTTGTTAATTCATCAACACACAAAAGCAAATAATTTTTTTTTAATTCAGGAAACAGGAGACATATTTTTGAAATATTACTGCATTTATTTGTAATCTGACATTTTATGTACAAGACAAATAATTTAGACAAGTTTTTGTCTACTTATTTTTAATAGGATCCTCTCGGAATTAGACAAGTTTCTTAGTATCCTTATTAAAGGAAGAAAGAAAATGACCATGTTGATGTTCTTCCTTCCTTCCTTTAATAAGGACACTAAGAAACTACTAAGATATATACATACACACACACACACATATATATATATGTGCACGCACGTGCACACACCAAGCAAAAACATACCATTGAAAAGACTTATAAATTATAATTTCAATGGGTAAGTTTTCAATACCCATCTCATCAGACCAAATAGTAATATTTTATATTAAAAAGATCTACTTGGATTATCCTTTCGACTAACGGATTTGATATTATATATATATATATATATATAAAAACACAAATATTTAGCTGTCATTAACACAGATTCACACATTAAAATCCTCAAAAATGAGTGTTTTCCGTAGAAAACCCAGAGGTGTACATTTCTTTTTCATGTTTGAAAAGGAATGTGTCATTGTGCTGACAGCTTGAAATAAAATTTTATTTTTTATTTTTTTTTGCTTATAATCTATTGAACTCTGATATTCAGCTTCTATTGAAAAGTATTTGAAACAGCCCCACCCACCGATATAGATAACAAAAGGAATAAATATAACACATTTCTAAGACTAATGTTGTTACTAATGATTGTAAAGTTGGATTAAGAGGCTGATACTCCTCAAAGATCCTGTCCAATACAAACATTTATGGAAGGCCAGAAAATGCACTGACCAAAAATGCACTCAAAACCACAAAAAGGAGGATAGAAGACTAAATAATTCATTAATCATCAACTTGTATTCACCTATAATAGATAACAGACAGGTAAAATACTACATTAAATCAATGCAGAGGGGGGAGAGGGAGAGAGAGCCCTCCCCCACTCCCAATAAACAACAAATACGCAAAACAAGCGAAATAACAACAAATAAATAAGCTATTGTATACGGCAAGAGAGAGAATGCAAATTAACATGTTTGGAGCCACAAATCTGAAAACATTAAAACGATAATAAAAAAATAAACAAAAAGGTCACCAACTAAACTCTCTCCTCTTCAGGAGAGAGTAAGTTGGGGACAGTCAATGCCCAACAGCAAGACTACTTGCTGTGACCTACTTGCCTGCATTGTCCATATAGGGCAGGTCTCCCTTTTCAACTAACCCCTTGGGGTCTGACCAGAGAGAGACACACAAAGAGATACACCCACAGAGAGAGAGAGAGAATCTGATGAGGATGGGAGACCTGCCAGTCCTTAATTTACTACATGCAGAAAAAAAACACAAGATAAACAGGAAGCAAATGGATGGATGGATGATGTGGCAAATGAAGGGGGGGAAAAAAAAAAAATTATATCTATATATATATATATATATATATATATATATATATATATATATATATATATATATATATATATATAAGAAAGAAAAAAATTAAAAAAAAAAAGAAAGAAAAATAAAGAACACATCGCCAACAAGAAATTGTTGGGGGCCCCAGTCAGCTGTGGCCCAACAGTAAGATGCAGTGGTAGTGGCAGTAGCAGTCTTACTGTGACGTGCTGACTGACTTGCCTGCTGTTAGAGATCCTGCGAGTTTCAAACCATGGCTTTCTTAGCGGCTAGCTCACAAGCAGCAGGCTCACGAGTACCCAACAACACTCCCAAACCAAAACTCTATAACCATGAACAGGCAAAAATTAAGTAGAGTTCTTTCTCTTTTTTTTTTAAATTTTATTTTAAGCTCTATATATATATCTATCTCAGGAAAAGCTTAGAGAGTGATCAGAAAGAGAGAAAGAATTACACGAAAATATGTATGTGTGTGTGTGTGTGTGTTTGCGTGTAAATCTATTAGACTGAGTCATAAGTAATTCCTGTTTTTAGAAATCAAATTGTAATATTTTGGAGGAATAAAGTTGATAAAAACGGCAATTATTTAAGACTCAACTTAATGTTATCACTGCTGGAAAATTTCACTCTCTCAAGTTTGTTCTTATTACGCTAAACATTACTTTCAGTGGCAAGACATGTTCGAGTTGACATCTGTCCTTTTTATTTTCTTAAACTGTTAAATTAATGTCAACTACCCAAAACTGAGAAATTTCAAAAAAAAAAGAAAAAAAAAAAGAAAAGAAACATGTGCCTGCTAACAGGAGTCAAACTGTTACCCCCCACTCCCAGCTTTTTTTCTTTTTTTTAAAACATCAGATAAACCACCACTCTATAGTCAAAGTGGTAAGGCAAGCGTTTGAGTCTTGCCTTATGACAGTCTCCTATTGCCTAATTGGTAAGAGCATGCTTCAGCTACAAGTGTGGTTTCCTTGCTGGGGAAAAAAGATACAGGCACAATTTTTTTTCAGAGACAGTTTTCTTTAGTAGGAATTGTAAACCATAAGCATCAATTATCATTAATTTCATTGTTGGAAAATAAGAAAAAAAAGAAATGAGGAATGTCAAGTCAAACACGTGTAGCCACTAAAAGCCACTTAATGCAATAAGAAAATGTTGAATCACAACAACAATAAAAAAAATACCCACTAAAAAAATTCCTGTCATCTAATTAAGAGATTAAAGAAAATTGAAAGCAACATAGATAAATAAAAATGCACCACAATCATCAACATGTCAAAATGGAATTGGTGAAGCAAGTTTGAATTCTGGATGAGGCAATACGAGATCACTAAATACTAATACATTGAGAGCAAAAGGCATGAATCCATCTTTCCCTTCCTCTATTATTCTATCACCAGAACTTTTAAGAAAGGTCTACTCACTAGATAATGACTAACCAACATATTGCCAAACTACGTTGGGCTATACACAAGTGTAAGAATTGCACTATTTAACCTCTTGACACAAACATAAAATCCTATATATACCAAAGATTAAAAAAAAAAAAAAAAAAAAAAGACAATGGAAAAAGAGCATTAATTCAAGCAATAATAATAATAATAATAATAATTTATGAACAATTCAATTTTTTTACCACAATCACAGCCAAAAAGGTTAGTATTCATGAATACGCCTGGTAAGAAAGACAAAGTAAATAAAATAATCATTTATCTTATACATCATTAGTGATTTATTTAGTGTATTCAATTTCTTGGATTATGTTGTGATGTAATGGATAAAGGCTCAGAATGAGAATCTGTAGAGCCAAGTTCAAATTCCAGTTGAGTTGGTTACATTCACTTACATGCAAATACCCTTGGGAAAGGTAGGAATCCATCTCTTCTTTGCAGCTATGGATTGAATAATGAGACAGACTGGGTCCTGTTTGGCAGCCAGTCTACTGCAGAAAGAAACAGCAGCCCACTGCAGGAAAATCTTCTGCATTGGCATGATTCAAAAGACATAATTGCCAAAGCTGATTCAATTTCTTAAACATGGATCAAAGAAGTATATAAAACTAAAAACAGGTGGTAAATACTGGCAGTTATTATACAGACTGGCTATTTAGGATTTTTGAAAAATTATCATCTACAAATGCCAGGCTGTGGGTGTGTGTGTGTGTGGGGGAGGGGGGAGTGTCAGAATTGTCCAAATTTAAAACCATGTTTTTCGATGGAACTGTGTGTGTGTGTGTGTGTGTGGGGGAAGCACATTTGCTAGCAGAGTTCTTTATGGTTTGAAGAGTTTCCTTCATAAAAAGGAGAAAACTGGATCAATTTGGCAAAAGAGCTTTAAATATATTTTAAAGCGGCAGTTTTTCAAATTTAGTGAATTCATGTGGCACCTTTTTGTCAAAGTCTTTTTTTCCCCCCTTCTAATTTGCTTTGAATATGAGCAGGAATTTTGATACAATACAAAAATTCTTGTCAAGTTTTTATTATTATTTTGGAATGGGGACACCATTCAGTAGAGTAGATGGGTGCCTATAAAGTCTTACTGAAAATGAAAACTGCCAAGATCTCTTTAAAGGGAGGGGTGAGTTTTCATGTGTTTTTGCAACAGAGCCAAGATATTTTATTGCAAAGACTGAATTTAACTCATTGCCAATATTGAAATTTTTGTCTGAATCGATATTTACAAACCATAGTTTAATGCACCCAAACATGAGTGAACTTTGATAGTGTTGCCTAGTTTTTTTTTTTCCAGGTGGGAAGGCAAAGCAATGTGCTTGTGCTGAAAATCAGGATCTGGTTGAAAACAAGCAGATCGTCTGATATTTCACAAGCACTGTCATTCTATTGTTCTTAACCTATAAAAAGGAAAATACCAGCAGAGGATGTGACCCCCGACCCCCAAAATAATTAACAGCAGAAATCTTCCATTTTGGCTGAGATCACCAAAACTTGCACATTGGTAAATATGTTTTTTGTGGTGGGTTGGACACAAAAGAGAATTTAATTAAAATTTGTACTCAAGTAAAAGATAAAAACAAAAAACCCAAAACACTTGGCAATTATTAGGGTTGGAAGAGTAATGATCAGTAAAGATAGGGAGAACAATCAAGAAAAGGGGTTAAAGATTCTAGGCCGCCTCCTAATGAAGAGAATCAAACTGTAGATGAAATAAGTTTTTCTTTTGCAAATAAAGATAATCTGCTAAACAATTGTATACAACCAGAATTTCAAGTTTTGTTAATAAGGCAGTTCAGGTAATGATGTTGGTATTCTTACTAATCTCAGTTCAGATGGTCATAATAATAGGACAGTTGGTAGGAAACAAACTGACAACTCAATGATTTGCAGATATAACCCATTAAACATTACACTTTACAGCAGGTAGCCATGTTGATATTAAAATAAACATATTACTACTTTTGTTTCCCGTCAGTTGGAAACAGTTTCACAATCAAAATTAACAATACTGAATTTGGTTTCCGTTTCGATATAATTGTTGGCATCTGAATAACAATTTTCATTGTCAATAGTGAAGAGAGTTTGTTTATTTCGTAAATAGATAATAATAAAAAAAAGAAAAAGTATCAAAGTAGTTTGCAGATGGAAAAAAAAAAAGAAAAAGGAGGAAAAACATTAAAGAAGCAAGAAAAAAAAAAATCTTTCAAAATAGCAAAATATTTATTTTTGCATGTTCATGGCAAGCAAGAGTTGTTGTTCTGTTTTTTTTTTTTTGTCTTGTCTCAGAAAATTTTGTTTTTATGGTTTGCTACTTGTCAAAATGTTATTTGCCAACATTTCTGAAGAAGAAAAAGAGAAAGAAAAAAAAAAAAAAAAAAAAGAAAAATATACATATAATAAGTATAAGACCACACACATTGAAAACTTATTCCTTAAAATGATTTATTTCAAAACTGAAATGTCCCAATTACACAGCTCACCACACATTGCTCAACAGAATGAGACTTACCGGGTTCAAGGTTGCAAAGAGACACTGCTGACCTCCCCACACACTTTATGTTTGGCATTATAAGAAAAGAGAAAGAAAAATTCAAAAGAGCACTTTTTCCTTTTTAAAAAAAAAAAAAAAAAAAAAAAAAAAAAATCACTTGTTAAATTGTAAGAAAGCTCAATCATTTGAAAGTAACATCAATTCATTTAATACAATTTTTTTTCTTCAAATGAATAGTGACTTTTGTTATAGAACAGGATAGCTGACAAGATTGAACCAAGCTGGAGATCTTTAAAGTTACTCAGAAATGATTCTAGTAATTATCTAATCTTTGTTTGAATTTGAAAAAAGAAAAAAAAAAAAAAAAAAAAAAAAAAAAAAGAAAAGAGGAAAACAAAACAAAAACAAATATAGAAAGTTATCATTTAAAAACAGGCACACATACAAAAAAATACTAATTCTTCCTAAGATATGAAGCTGAGGAGGGGTGGGGGGAAAGAAAAAAGAAAAAGAAAGGTCTAATGGCCCCTGTGTCATTTTAACAGTTTGAAATTGTTTGTGTCGACCTATTGATGCTTGAAAAATTCTAAGCTGACAGCCAGCTGGACTGTTTGATGTGAGAAATAATGAGAGTCAATGTTTGAAATAATTTTCAGATCAGTCCAAGTAAAAAGCCAGGCTGCATTTGGAGTAAGCCAAAAGTTTACTGGATCAGAAAAATTAAGTTTAAACAGAGAGAGAGAGAGAAAAGAATTGAATAAATAAAAAGATCCAATTTTATACCAAAATAGTTTATAAAATTATAAAAACATCAAGTAAATAATTTTGTAAGCAATGTGTGGAGAGCAGCAGTGCAGTAGAGAATTGTATCAAAATACTCAAGAAAGATGGTGGCAACAGCAGCTGCTGCTGCTATATAGAAGCCACCAGTGTCACGATGAGAAGATGCAGTTAAACAGAAAGGAGGTCAGAGAGTTAATAAACTGACCAATAGGCTTACCTTGAACTTACATGAGGACGAGGAGGAGGAGGAGAAGGAGGAAAGGTAGTGAGCCAACACTTGTCTTTGAAAGGTCCAGGTTTTACTGATGACAAAACTCAAGACAGACAGACATGATCATGTAATTAATAATGGGCCACATATAGAAACACCAAAATCTTACATGAAACAACCATTTTGCTGAAACGGTGGATTGGGTGGGTGGTCGACCCTCTTTTTATGTCTTTTGTTTTAAGTCAAAGTGAGGGACAGGGATTATTGTTTTTTCCTTCTAAAGATTTTGATCTGGGAAACAAAGTTAAGAATGAAATGAGAAGAAGAAGAAGAGCGAGAAAAAGCACTTGGAAAAGTGAAGGCTAAGACAATCAGCTGTTAGTATGATAAGTTGCTACTGACAAAAGTCCAAGGGTAAAGATGTGAGAGGAACAGTAGCTAGATACTAGCAAAACTGTTTTAGCCCTGCTTATTCTTTCAACAGTGCTAAATAACCCAGCTTGTGAGTGATGAAAGAAACTATAGCCATGGATGTCAAAAAAAAAAAAAAAAAAAAAAGGGGGTGAAAGAGAAGTAGTACAAGTTGTAATAGGCAGGGGTGTGTAATGTGTTGTTTTAGAACCTCCCTGCTTGTGGCGACTGTGTTGTTGTTGCCGTCGTTGTGGATGGTTGATTAATCATTACTCCTCCCCGAGGATAGTGGTTGTAAGGCGCCCGCATGTTCATTGATGCTGGTACACTGCCGGGCATCCTGGCAAGCATTGCACCTAAGAGAAAAGTGGGGGTCAAAGGGGGGAAAAAAGAAAAAAAAAGGGGGGCCAGAGGGAGGAAAGACATTAATATGAAGAATAGTATTGAAGTCAAGATTAACTTTAATATCAAAAACAAATAATATTGCAATATTTGATATTTGAAAAAATTCCAACTGAGCAGCAGTAGATGAGGAGTTCTATATGAAAAACCTTTACAAAGATGGTAGCCTATTCAGTTGTGGGATTAAAATTCTATATATATCATCAGGAAACTTAAAATGGTATTTAATAGTTACTGCCCATTAAAAGCAAATAATGTCACATTTTCAATCTTAAAATTAACACTAGATTCTATAACATGCTTTTATTAAAATTTCTATGTTGTATTTTAATATTGAAATCAGCAAAAAAAAAAAATCAACTGCATATGTAACATGCAATCTGATTCTCCAATTATTATGAGCTTAAAAAATTGGCTTAGACAATACAGAAGTAAGAACTTGATTTTTCATCAACAGAGAAAAAAAAATAAAAATACTGACCTGGTAACATCCCAGACCCCATCATCCCCTGCATTGGGCGTGTCCCTTGGGTAGATAGTTTCTTGTATTTTGGGAGATTGGCCCGCCGCTCCTCCTGAAAGCAGGGGAACATCCAAAAAATGAGGTTTTTTTTTTATTTTTTTTTATTTTTTAATCATGCAAGTACAAGTAAAAAGAAATCAAAAATAAAAAAGGCTGAAAACAACTCACCCACAAATTTTCAGATCATCTTTGAATGCAGAATTGTGTGTGTGTGTGTGTGTGTGTGTGTGTTTATGTACGTGTGCGCAAAACAAAAATATAACAACTTTCCAAAAAATCATCACTCACTCATTTAATGGACTTGTTCGGCTGGCACCACGACTCTTGTAAAGTGCTGTCACTTTGGGAACAAAGAGAACATTCCACTGAACTAAAACCTGGAATCTTGATACACAGTTTTTCATCAAAGATAACAACAAAGCAACCACAGGTGCTAGCAGTCTACTCCCCCCCCCACACTACCCCCACCGCCCAAAACACTAATCCTCTTCTCAGGAAGACGTCATTAATCAAACTATAGAAGTAATTTTCATATAGAAAAAGATTAAATAAAAATAACATTTAGAAAATAAATTTGCTAAGAAAACTTTGATGAATTCCTTCCACTTGAAAACATTTTTAAATTCCTTGCTTTTCTTTTTAATCATATCAATTAGGTTGAACATTAGGATACAGTGTGTGCTATATAAGAAAAAAAAACAAAAAAAAACGAGAGTGGCGAATATGTAAGACTGAGTTAGAAATCATTAGGACCTAAGTGTATTATTATTGAAGGTTGTCTGACATTTTGAAACCCAAGAATTCCTTCAGATTACATTCCTTCATCTTTACTTTTGCTCCTTAAAAATAAATTGCACAAAGTCAAGCAGATAATTTCAAACAAGTGGTTTTACAAAAATTGCATGAAGAAAATGTCCTACCTGGTGTCTGTCAGAGGAATTCAACTCCGAGTTCCCACCTTAAACTCAATGTAAGAAGCCTATTTTCATGAAGAAGCCCAATAGACTTCTTAAATGAACTGCAGCAGCAAACTGCCCAGTGCCCAGATTAAACTTGGCCCAACTGAGAACAACACATGCATCTACATTGGCCTACTGTCCCATGAAATGCAAATGAAAACTAGAATCTTAAATGGAAATGAAGCTATGAAGAAATCATGAAAGAAAAATAAAAGAAACTTTAGAAAATAAAAAACAAGTTAAACTTCAATAATCTGGAAATGATGGCTTCTGTATCTGGAAAATTGGTCAGAATTTCTAAAGTTTTTTTTTTTTTTTTTAAAGATTCTTAGGCATGACAGCTCAGTAAAAGGACAGTTTATTTTTTGTTCTTGCAAATGGGCATGTTTTGCATTGCAGGCCCAAGGAGAGACATAATTAAATAACTTCAAAATGGGGTTGCAGTAAACAAAAGAAAAGAAACTGCTTTAAACTGGGGGAAAAACAAAAACTGTCAGTCATGGAACACATGGTCCATGATAAATGGAATCATTATCTTTTCATGGGTGAGTGGCCAAGTGGTTAGAATGTTTGCCTTATGACTAGGAAGCTTGGGGACAATGAGCATAGTGTGGTAACTTTGGAAAGTGGCTGAAAACCATGCCACAGGTCGAGAGAATCTGGGTAGACGGAGCTACTCGAAAGGCAGTAGATGATTGTATTGGCACAAAATCACAAGTCATCATGACCGAGGATTTGAGTGTACTGGCCGTGTTTAAACTGTTGATCACACCAGATTATGCACTCTCTCCCAGAAAGGCTAATTAAAGGTTGCTCAGCATATTTGCACTAGCAATATAAACCACAGGTACACTCTGTGGGTGTTGAACAAACACAGATGTGCCTGAGAAGGAGTTTGTTGGGGCTAGCTACTCTAGCAGAAGTGTGCATTCGGAGATAGAAAAACAGCCCTTATATTTTTCTGTCAGCAGCCTACTGACCAATTTCAAGCAAATCCTTAAATAACCCACTGGATTCATTAATATTTATCAAGCAATAAATAGCATTATAAGCTTTCCATCCATGCATATGGTCTTTTCACATTGCAAATGGCCACTGCTTACTTGAAGCATGCAAAGCGTCAAGCAAGCAGGTTGGAAATTTGTTACAAAAAATGTAAGCCAGTTTCAAATTTTCATAAATTTTACCCTTGTCTGACATTTGCTGACATTTTTTTTTAACAGATGATTGAAGTCAAACTTGTAAAGAGTAACATTATACTAAGATTCAGTCTCAAAGTTGATGAATTAATTTTGTTGCCTTTAAGCATTTCTGATTGAGATTTTTTATAAAAGGCTTTTGCCATTTAATAAAACTGGAAGAAGAAGAAGAAAAAAAGAAAATTATATTTTATATAATTTTGTTTCAATCCCTCTTAAAACCTGGACATGTATTTGCATGGAGAAACATCAACAGAGGTAGGCATTTGGAATGGGCAGTGTGCTGGGGATGGCTGCATCATGGCAAAAGGGTGACTAAGAAAACAACGACAGTTATATAGTAATTGCAACAGTAATGAAGCCAGCAACAGAACTTACCAAAGAGATGTCTTCATCTGGATGCATCAATTTGGAAGCTAAGCCTGAAGCAGATTCAGGTTTGCGGATGATTGGTGCTCCAGAGATGGTTGCACTAGGTGATATTGATGTCGAAACAGCAGCTGCAGAAGGGAACGTCGGTTTCACTGGCACCAGGCCCTGGGCTGAGGCTGTTGTTGGTTTGAAGTCTGGGCCAACTGGTCGAGAACTACTGGTTTGGGTCTAAAACAAATGGAATGCCCAAAAGTCAATCAGATTAGCCTGAGTAAACCTAATTCCTTCATGGCAATAGAAATTAAAATAATATTTAAGCAAATGTTGAAGAAAAATAAAGAGTGGAGACCTGAAAATTGGGAATCAACTTAATGAAAGAACAAGAGAAGGTCTGATTTATGCCAGGTCACTCCACAAGTGCTACAGATACCATATAATCCAATACTGCCTGTCCCATAAGTCAGGTCATCGGTAATTAAAATGCTTTCCCCTACCATCAGGTATCTCTAGTGAGGCGAGTCGCTAGTTTCCCAGCAAGATTAAAAACAAGACCTGTCAAAAGGTGGATGATCATTCTTGTAAGTGTCAACAGCCGTTTAACACAATAGATGCAGCTTGTGTAGGGAGGGAGTAGTAATGACATGGCATTGCTGGCCAGAGGTCACTTCCTTGGCATTTGAAGTCAATGGTTTGTGACCTGCAACGATGACGTGCTCCCCAAAGGTCTACTTGTGAAAAAGAGATGCTCTACACATGAATGAATGCCTCTCTGGTCTTCAATCCAGGGACACAACAATCATAGTTAATAATGGTATTGATGATGATGATCTTTGGCATAAATTAAAGCAATAAACATTTAAATAAGGTTCCAGAAAGTTGTCAGCCTTTTACAAGCAAAACTTGATCCCAAAATAACCAATGAAAAATATTGCAAGATATTTTGCTGATGGGCAAAATTAATTCAAATTTAATTCAACTAAACAGAGTTGAGAAGAATTTGACAATATTTTCTGGAGGTGAAGAGCAATTTAGACAGTAATAAATGACATGGCAGGAAAAAAGTGAAACCAAACAAGTGTATCAATTATTGGCATGGATTTTAAAAGTAAATGAATCTACAGCTGATGGCCAATCAACAGGTAGAATGAGACCTTTAGCATAGGGAGATAAAGGCAGAATAGTGTTACACCAATCTCTAGTTGGAGAGCCATTCATGTTTAGTTATTTATACAGAATTTCTCTCAAATTTTTATTTGCAGAGATCATTTGACATTGGGAAATAATTTTAAGAAACCTGAAAATATCACAGTTGTGTAGAATATAGAGACTAACATGTCATTTAGAGGAAATGGGTTATGGGATTTTGCACGTAAACAATGTATAATGTTTTAAGATTTACAGTGGAGAGAGAGGCACAAAATAGAAAAGTCCACTTCCTAAATGCCCACAAACAACAGAAAGTATAGCCAGTATTTCTTGAGATTGGTAGGAGTGAGAACTTTTCATCTAATATTGAAAAGCTAAACAATATAAAAAATATTGATTAAATTTCTGAGAATAACAAAAAACAAGTGTTAGGAATGTTTTCACCTTCTGTCAAGTTGAAAACAGATTTATGGGGAGACATTTTTTTTCTAATGATTTTCTGGAAAAGGCTAATACCTGAGCAGCAGCAGCAGCAGCAGCGGGGAATAGAGGCTTTGCTGGGGTATTCTGTGTTGAGGTGACTGACTGTGAAGAAGACACTGGGGGTCTGGATACCTGAGCTGCCATCATCCCACGGGGAGGCACAGCCATTGCTGGCATTCCAGGACCATTGTTAGGATGCATTCTGTAGACACAAAGAAAGAATTTTATAGCATTTCTATCACTACATTAAAAAATTGTGAGCTATATAATGTTGAGTGTTCATATTAAAATGGTTTCTTAGAACAATTAAAAAAAAAAAAAAAAAAAAAAATTCAAAGTTCAACTTGGAAAATTAGAATATTTTTTTTTTTTTTTTAAAAAGCCTTTGAGCCCTGACCACCACTTTACCAGTGCTAGAGAAAAATGACGTAATGTCCAGCCACTGGTTGAACAGTGGGTAAACACTTGTAACTATTTTTATATCTACCGTGAAACATTACATACCAATTATTTGCGAATTTTGACGCTGCTCAGGCAGAAGGGTTAAAATTGTTCAAGAACAGAAGGCTTCAAAGGGTTAATCAAGAATTTGTGAGCCAAACTCATTCTGAGTTTTACTCGTGCTAATAATTTTAAAAGTTAAACCATAAACATTATTTAAATACAGACCATCTGCATTTTTGTAGTCAATATTTTGGTCATTGTGAAACAGTCAGGAGAAAATTTTCCTTTAACAACAATATTTGCAATATATCAACACGAATTCAATCAATTATTTTTGTTAACATGTGATTGTGATGTATATGTTCAGAATAATTTCATTTTAGATTTAAAAAACAAACAATTCCTAAAATGGTGACATCAATTTGTCTCAAGAGAACCTTAACTCATCTTGAATGATTGTTTTTTTTACTTACCCAATAGGTCCCATTGGTCCTGAAAGAAAACAAAACAAAAATGTCAGTGACATGCTAAAATAGAGAATCTCAAATGAGAAGCAAGTTTTGATGTTGTGACATTCAGTTTTGCTCTAAAGGAAATCAAATTTCCAAGCAGGACTGTCAACAAACATCACAGAAAATATACAATTTATTTTAACACTTCCTGTTCATTCTGTTAGATTATTCACATCATGGCTGACAAAAACTATATCTTTCGCTCTCTCTCTCAAAATGCATTATATATATATATATATATATATATATATATATATATATAAAAAAAGAGAAAAAGCCACAAACATTTTTGATTATAATGTGGATCTTTTTTTTTTTTTTTTTTTTTTTATATATAGTTTATTCTATATATTTTGCTACACACGTTTTGGGTCTTGTGACATTCATCAGGTGAAGAATGGTTATTTTCAGATATTATTTAAAGGAATTAATCCCCTCCACCCCATGTTCAATCTTTCAACCATTGTCTTGTATGTAGTTGTAGTCATCTGAATAAACCTTGGACTGGACTAAAAATGTTCTTCTGGCCGAGGGGGTAATAAAACAAATTTGGTTAGAGAAAGGGAAAGAGGAGGAGGATGTCGTTGTTCTTATTTTTTTATGAACCCCCACCCCACGTATCTTTTCATTCCTTCCTCTATTTTTGTGTATTGTTTTTTTTTTTGTTTTTTGCCAGTATATATATTTTCTTTCTCCATATTGTATTATTATAAGGAAACACAGACACACACACACTCTTTCTATGGTGTGCATGTGGGCACATGTGCCTGTGGTCCATCAGCTTGTTTTTGCCAGTATGTATGTATATATTCATTCTCCATAGATATATTATTATTATAAGGAAACCTTTATAGTAAATACATGCATTTCATATTGTGTGTGTGGTTCAACTAGTGTCTTTTGACACTATGTGTATGTGGTATGTGTGTTTATGTGAGTGGGGTTATAATTTATTTAAATTTGCCTATGAAGTTTTTTCTTGTATTTGAAGGTAAGAGTAATCATCTGTTTGATATATTGGCATAATTTTAAAGTTACCCTTTTTGCATTTGTGGATGTGTTGTGACAGTTTTCTGTTGCCTGGTAATTTAATGTTGCTTTTGTGCAGGGAGACTTGTTTAGTGCTTGAGTGATACCTATATAAGATTTGTTGCATTTTGTGTACCCGAGTGTATATATATATATATATATATATATATATATATAAAATGATAGCCGGCCACTCATACCTGAGGATGCCCATCTACTAGGGTGGCTAGCTAACCTCCATTGTAGATGCTTGCACATGCACAGTGTGTTTTTTTCAACACCCACAGAGCCCACCTGTGGTTTATACTGCAACTATGCTGAGCAGACCTTAGTTACAGTTTCTGGGAAAGAGAGTGCATTATGTACTGTGACCAACAGTTTGAAGAAGGCCAGTATGCTCAAAGCCAATGACTTGTGACTTCATGCTAGTACAACCATTATCATCCCCCAAGACTTCAATCTACCCAATTAAAGTTACAAGGTTTGGGTCAACTTGTGGCATGGTTTTCAGACCCTTTCCAAAAGATACTGTATGCTGGGATTGTTTTTGGTGAAGCAGGACAGGGATTTTAATCTCACACAAAGTAAGATGGGTCCTGACTAATGGAGAAATTGTCATAATGATGTGATACAATGTCTTACAAGACCAAATACTATTTCCAGTAACCAACTCAGACACTCACTGTAGTCCAACTACAGTGGTTTTATAGAGACCGCCATCTTTAGGTTACCATTGAGACCCCATGATTTCTCTTTGTCAAATGTTAACACAACTGTTAATGGAAATTTTTGACCCTTCTTTTCTAGTAAAATAACAAGTTAATTTGGAAAGTCTCGCAAAAATCAAATAATTGTCAGATCTTAGTGAAACTTTCAGGATTTTTGTCACAAATGAATTTAAAAAATTTTTTTTTCTCTTTAAAAGAAAATCTTGGTAATTTTTTTTTTAAACATTTGTTATCCCACCACTTATTCCTTAAAAGTGGATTTATCCTCCATTTTTTTTTTTAAAGTTAAATGAAGGACTCCTTGGAGAATGTAAATCATTTTTTTTTTTTTTTTTTTCCCCAAACTTACCAAATTCCGTAAAATCTGCTCCAAATAGTAAAATTTATTTAATTAGATAAGCTTTAAATTACTTTTTATAAATAATATATACTAACGGCATAAGAAAATAATGAAGAAAAAATTGTCAGTGAATAATGAATTTTTACAAAAAGTTTTCATTTTTTTTCTCTCTCGAATTATAATTTATAAAGTTTCAAAAATGTTTTCAAAATTTTCCCAAAATTCATCCTCATTAGGTTATTAAGTGAAGACTATATTTACTAAGCAATAAATTGAAAAGTTTAATACAAATCATTATAACAAAGATTTTTTAAAATCAAAAAAAATCTGTTATGTGTATAAATGTGCTGATTTTGAAAGTATGGGTGATCATATATGACATTATCAGAGAATAAGATTGATTATGATAGTAAATTTAAAGTTAACATTATTAAAATTAGATTACAGAGAATATTTCCAACATTACTGAGTACTTAAAAGTTATATAAAAAAAAAAAAGCATACACACATCATTTTCTTAAATAATGTTATAACAGATGAGGTCCCCATAGAATAATGATAAAAGTGACACCATTCCTTAAATCACTCATCAAGTGACTTACGAGGTGTTGACAAGCATTTAATTGCACTGCTGTGTTTTAAAAATCTATTTCCCTGTTATTTTTAACTTGAAGTAAATAATATTGGTTTCAAATCAGATTAATTATACTTTAAATCAGCTAATATTTCTCAAAGTTTCACAAAAGTATATTTTATTTATGGAAGATTTTTAAAGCTTAGAATTAACTTTTGTTTATAAATGTGTCAAAAATTGCTGTTTTTGTCAAAGTGACCAAAAAGTTGAGATTTCAATCAACATAATTTCTAATGTGTGCTTGAACTGTTCAAATAAAGCAAAGGTATTATATTTTAGTCTTTACAATCAATATTGATTAGAACATTATAAAAAACACATTTGAGTTCATTTTTGAATATATTTCTGATGCCCCCCCCCCACACACAGTAGCATGATGTGACAGGTTTTTTTTTTTACAGACCGAATATAAAAATTACCCAGTCCTGAGACCACTGTCAGGCTGGCATTGCTATTCACTTATAATTATAAATGCTTATATAAATATGAAGAATATATCAAGACTTTTTAACTGTTTATTTCAAAGGTTTTATTTAAAGTTTACACAATGCAAATAAATCAGGTCAGGTCAAATTTCTTGAGGCAATACACTTAATATTTTGGGTTATCTCAGTGCAGTTATGTGCCATGCGTGATACACGCTTAGGCAATCATGTATCTTTTGATACATGACTAACGAGGCAGGTTTTTTTTCTTTTTCTTTTCTTGCAGTAGGTTGCCATTTCTTTCTATGGTAGACCAGTTGCCATCCAAGGCTATAGAACCCGGTCTGTCCTGCTATTTACCCTTAGCTAGGGGGGAGAAGAGGATTCATACCTTTCCCAAGGGTATTAGCACATAAGTGAATGTAATGGATTCGACTGGAATTTGAAATTGGCTCTCCGATTCCTCAATCCAAGCCACTGCCCATTACTCCACCGTGAGAAGAAAAAAAAAAAGAAAAGAAAAGGCAATGTGTTCTTGTTCAATGGTCTGTAGAATGTCAACTGGTTTCATATCTGAAGCGTTCAGTGATAGAAGAAAGAATGAGATTAATGTGATACTTGTAAAATCTACAATACTCAGCATAAGGGATTCAAATGCTTACAATTATCATTTGGTAAGCATCAGCACTTATATATGAAAAATTTAAAAATAAAATCAGTCAATTGTTTTACTTTGTAAAGAAAGAAAGGTGGAGAGAGTTAAGTGAAGTCAAGGAAACACAATCAATGTTTGTGAACAGCTTTGCTCATCAGGTTGACAGGTAATTAAAATAACATTCAATAATGACCTTTGGCAAAAAGCTTTTGTTTATAGGCAACATGCTTGGCACTAATCGTAACCAGTCATTGTCACCACTCAGTTAATTTTATAATTGGTGAGGGTGGGGAGTTACTGGGGGAAATATATTTCATTTCAAGAATCAATAAAAGAAAAAACAAAAACAAAGATGCCATTGTTGCTGTTGTTATAGACAATGTGTTACAGAGTATTTGTCTGTGTAAATATGGTTTGTCATTTATTTAAAGGCTACAGCACCATAATTACCAGCTGTTGAGTGTCATTGAAAAATATTGGAGGGGAGGTGGGGGGGACGACAGATTTAGGGTGTTTTTTTGTCTTTTGAACAAATATTTAAAGGATAATCTGTTATACATGCCTTATCTCTTATAATAATAATAATAATAATATTAATAATAATAAAGGAATGTTAAATCCTCAAAAAGGAAGGCATATTTTCAGGCAGACCCATTTTCCAATAAGAAGCAAAAGAGGATCTCAGTTTGTTCAACATGCTTTTCTTGTAAGCCATTTTCCATGTTGATGAAGTTCATTTCTCTATTTTATTCAGTTGTTTCATTGCCTTTTTATTATTATTATTATTTTCATTTACACTGTTTGGACTGTTGTCCTCATAGTTATCCCCAAGAACACATTGCCCAGTGGATAAAAGCATTGATGTTGAAGTAACCAAGTGACTTGACCCAAAGAGTCAGGAGTTCAATACCTGGCCACAGCAGAGGTGAACAAAAACATGGAGAGTCGAGTTACTAAAGGGAAATAACTGAAACTGAGATATCCACAAAAGGCATGGCATGTAAAACTAAAAAATAGTGTTTGGTTTCAAATTCCAACATATATCACTTGAAGAAGACTGGAGTTTACAACAGTCGAAACGTTGTGAATATGACAATAAAGATGAGGACAACAGTCTGAACAATGTAAATACTTACAATACCTCATCTCAGAAATAGACAAATATTGTTCTTTTAACCAAATGTATAATTAATGCTTTTTATGTATTTGTTGATAAATTGAGCAAGAACTTCTTTCCATTAACTTTTACAGTTTTGAAAGGCATATCTGAAAAGTGCTTAAACTCATTTTTACACTTGTCTACTTGCAATCTGGACCATAAGAGAACTGAAGCTTCAAGGAAGATAAGAATTTTGGAATTTGCAAACAATTTTGTCAGTGAATGAAAGAATAAGATTTTGGATTTAAAGAAGCGATTAAATTTAGAAAAACAGAAGTCCCAAAAAAACAAAACAAAACAAAAAAAACAAAGATTTAAAGGCAGCGTTGAAAAATATTTCAAAAACCTGTATCGCATCAAACTTCAGAGTATCCATGGCAACCATTTCAAATCAGTTAAAAATGAAACTTAATCAGGTTAATTTGAAGTGAATTAAACAAAAGAAGCAAGAAACAGATGTACAAAATCTGGTGATATGAAACTGATAGAATTCTGTATTATAACCAGAAATGAACATAACAGCTGGAGGATATGAAGAAGCTGAAACATCAATCAAATCTACATCACTGCTTCCTTTAAAATTAAACGTGGAATACACAACAAGGGTGAAGAGACCAGAGTTTGAAAGTAAAAAATTCAAACACCACCCACTTTGATGAATGTCATTTGGCAACAAGGAAACGCTCATCCACATTTGATAAAAGATGGCAACTTTATTGCACTCAACCAACCTTGCTTATGTAAAATTGCCAATTATAAAGGCATCTTGACCAGGTCCTATTATGAGAAATTCCAGCAATCAGGACTAAGTTGAAAAATAATTAATGGAATAGTTGTTTGAATTAAAAGTTCTTTAGAATAGAAACTGACAATTTGCTACCAATTTGTAACAGACATATACAAGCAGTGGATGGAATATGTTTGTTCAAGGATTAGAAATGACAGAGACACACAGGTGTGATCATAGTTTACACAGTGCTTCCCCAGCCATAATCTTTCTCCTCAGCTGATCAATAAACTTATTTGTGGAAGTGGACATGAATTCAAATTCAGTGATATATAAGAGGTAATCCTTTATGGGCCAAACATTTGGTATTGGTCAAAAGAATTACCCTTGAAAGGCAAGCTCTCTCCAACATAAAAACCTCTGGTAAAATGTACTAAATAGATGGTGAAAATTAGTCTGAAGATACTTAAGTATCTTTTAGACTAATTTTCACATATACTAATTAAAGTAATACATCTCAGAATGTCACAACACAAACATTTCATTTATGTAGTAAAACAAGATGACAATCATTTTCATAAGCGTTTAACTAATGGAGACAGAAGTTTTATATTTTTAAAGACAAGACATCCATCTCATTCAAGAGATAAAATTATGAATGTATTTGAATTTCCTTTTCCACAATCAGTAGAGTGGAAAATCCCTTCTAATAGGTATATACATAGTTTGTTTTTGTTTTTTAAATAAATTTATAAAATCACATCATTTGAATAAAACTTGTTTACTTGACATCTAAGTTTTTGACTAGAATAATAATTCTTCACTTTATTTCAATTGATAGAACCATTTTCCTTTGGTTTGGTTCACAGCACATCAATCTCAATGGCTCATTTAATGCAGACAACTTCTTTTTTTTTTTTTTTTTTTTTTTTCCTGGTAATATTTTTTTCTCAAAAATGTATTGCTGGTAATTTTTTTTTTTCAAAAACGCATTGTCAGCAATAGTTTTTTTTTTTCCTTCAAAAATTCATTTCTGGCAATATCTATTTTTACACTTTCTTAATGCTTTTTCTCTCAGTTTCAGGGTTAACTATTTGCCCATAGCTGGGACTCTAACAGGTGCTACCACCCTGGGTCAGGGTGGACCTGGGAATACCAGCAATTTAGAGGCGATTCCACGCTTCTCAAAACCTCCTGATCAGAGGCCTTGCTGTTGGACGCAGTTTATCGTCTTACCCAGAACAGCCATTTTCCTTTGACAGAAATATCAAATATTAGATGAAATAGCGGATGACATTATTACTGTATTTGTCCTTCCAAAATGCATGTTACTGGCTTCAAACACAAACCTATATGACTGACTTAGATTTAATATTGAACAGTGGTTCAATAATACAGCAATCAAACCAATCACTTTGATTGACCAATCAAATGAGAACAAATAAAAATGAAATTAAACAATAAAATAAGCTTACCAACAGGTGGCATTGGACCCATTGGCCCAATAGGTCCTATGGGTCCCATTGGTCCTGCAGCTACAGGTCCTGGTCCCGGAGGTAGAGGAGGCATATTTGGAGCTCCAGGAGGGACATACGGAGGCATACTGGTGGCAGGCATCTGCCCACCATTAAAATAACTACTGTTTGGAGGACAACTATTGCTGTCCTCATCACTGTCAGCTTGAGGCTGTCTGTTATCACCTAAAAAACAATAGAAATATTAAGAATAACAAGAACTGGAGGAAAAAAAAAAAAAAGGAAGCAAATGTCTACCTGCCTGGGCATTTGAAAGTCTTAATAAATCAACATTGCCTTTCAGCAGAGATTAAACCCATGCACCCCCTCCCTCCTATACTAGAGAAACTGCTTTTAAACCAGACATGTTTTAGGCCATTCAATCACAAAGGACTTTCGCAGCAAAACACGGCCCAATTACCCTTCTTAAAAACAACACATCTTGTTGGAATCTTTCAAAGCCCATATCCACAAACTATTTTTGTATCTAACATGTAAACAAATTAATCTCTAAGGATTTAATGGATTTTATTCATAATCAGGTATTATAAATGAAATCCATTAATTCCTTTGTTTAAGTTTCAGACATACACACTCACGAGATAAACATTTATTAATAACCTATTTGTTTATTGTGGAAAAGCTAAAATTTCCATCCCATCTTATTTAGTTTGATTCATTGGTAAACAAGTGTATTGTTTTCCTGCTTTACCTTTTTAGAAAAACTGTGACCCAGATATTCAAGGATATATAAGAAAAGTTCATTTCAACCATAGCAGAAACAAAAAAGTTTCTTAGTGTCAGATTTCTAAAGACCAGTCTGTAGGATTCAGGATTTAAAAAAAAAATGTAATTAAATCTAAGAGGAAAAAAAAACAAAAAATTAAAACACTTACAAATAACAATGAGATCAATAATACTAAAAATAATTAAGGGGGTGATGCAAATGTCTTGCATTTTTTTCTAAATTATTTCATATAAATTTGTGGCATTATTCAAACAAAGTATTTTTATGACTTTCCATTATCTTTCAGCCAAATTATATATTCTATCCTAAAAGGGCAATTCCTTAAATCAAAGACAGAATTTTTGGTATATCTTGTACTTGTCGGAAGCACTGATGAGAAAGTTTTTTTTTTTGCCTGAAGTGAAATAAATGATCACCTGAAGGTAAAAGGTGTGGAGAATATGTCGCATTTTTGATCTCATTTCCATGATTGAAGTTTCTTTTTTTCCTCACCACTTTTTCAGAACAAACAATCAGGTAATATGCAGCTAAAATCACTGGTCAACTTCCAAGTTGACCAAAATTTATCTTTGTTCCAAACAAACCAATTGTTCATTGAAACATTGCATACCAATTTTGAGTTTCTGTCTATATCTCCGAGATGAGGAATTCTGATTACATTATTCAGGTTATTATTCTCATCTTCATTGCTATATTCACAATGACCGAAATGTAATGAATATGGCAGTGAAGATGAGAATAACAGTCCAAAATAATGCAAGTAACCATAATACCTCATCTAAGAGATATAGACAGATATATAGAGAGACAGACATAAAGGCCGGAGTGTACAACGGACGAAATGTTGTGAATATGGCAATGAAGTTGAGGATAACAATGTAAATAATGTAAGTTACAGTTTATTCAAGCTCCATTTCATAAAAAATTCCCTTTGAAATGCACACACACAAAAAAAAAAAAAAAAAAAAGAGAGAAAATTTTCCAAGAGATTCAGCTTTCGCGAGCATTTGTAAGATTTCTCATATCACTTGGCTAAGTCAAGAACTTTTCAGCACACCCATCACACACACAAACACTTACAATTTTAAAATTTACGAGACGCTCATGAATATTCATTAGGTTAATGCAAAAGTCAAGGTAAATTATGGAAGATGCTAAGTGACATAATTTAGTGTCTAATAAAAGAGTAAGTAATATTGTTGAATTTTTCCTGGTGTCTATGAGTGTCACTTAAATGAAAAAGATTTTGAAAAACTAACATTTTTACTTTTGTTTATAAATACTTGTTACAAAATAAAATCCTTACATTTTGCCTTGATAAAATCCATCAGAGAACGAAACGTGATGGCTAAGTTTTCCTTTTGTCTTTATTCATATTCTCCTTTTTACAGATATAGATTTTAGTATCTGTCTGTATCTCCAAGATGAGGTATTATGATTATTTACATTATTTGGACTGTTATCCTCATCTTCATTGCCATGTTCACAACATTTCGGCTGTTGTATGCTCTGGCCCTCTTCAGACAATTGGAATTTCGTACTGAACCCTTTATATTGTCCACCAGAGTAGATTGTTCTAGTTTCACATGCCATGCCTTTTCTGGGTGTCTCAGTTATTTCCCTTTAACTCAAGTTTTTTTTGGCTCACCAATGCTGTAGAGCCTGGTACTGAATTCACAAATCTTTGGATCTAATCACTGGATCTAATCAATACCCTAAATCCACTGGGCCAGGTGTTTTAGTTATATTTGAAATTATGCATGTGTGTAAAATTTCAGAGATAACCCTGAGATTTGAATCTCACCAGGGTCAAAGAGGTGGCTTCTTGATAACCTAAGGGAGATGATCCCAGAATGAAGTACTACTGCTGGGAAGTAGTACCCCCAAAAGTGGAGTACTTGAAACTGTTTGGTGGTTGTCCTACTACTGACCATGTCAGATTATGCACTCTCTTAGAAACTGTAAGGTCCACTTGGCTTAGCTTTAGTATAAACCACTGGTTGTTGATTGTGTGGGTTTTTGAAGAAACTCAAGATGGGCCTGGGTGGGTATCTGCAGTAGGGATTAGCTGACCACCCTAGTGGTATATGGACGTATATGCATGTACTTGGAAATGAGTAGCTAGCCATTTATTATAGACAGAGTCACATACACACAACATTTTACAATCTTATGTAATTTTTTTGTTTTTTAAATTAAAAATAATTTTAAGTAGAAAATTTTTTCCTTTTCAGCCCCCCTGATCTACCAATGTACCAAAATTTACCTAAAAATCATAGTGGAATGAATATTTTCATATGACTAACAACTTTTAAAAAAATTATACTGTTGGACTTTGACTACCTTACAGTCATTAAGTAGTTCAATTCTTTCAGTTAATTAGGGTTTTTTTAAAAATTAGATTTAAAATAAAAAAAATTTAACTTTTATTTTTAAAACTTTTGAATAAATCTTTTTTTGAACAAACTTATTTTTGGTGGTGAAAAAACAAACAAACAAAAAACCTTTAGACCAGAAAATGGCTCAACAAAACCCTGCATGTATTGGCAGATAACAGAATTGACAATGTAAAGATTATGAGATTTATTGTTTATGGAATTTAAGACTATATTTTCTATAAAATTAAGAAATGCACCGAATCAATGTTTTGAAGATTAAAACTATACAAAATTCGATCATTTCTGGGATGAGGAGTTATCACCATTTGTATTATTTACATTCAGACTAATATCCTTATCTTCATTGTTTTCACAACATTTTGACCATTCTGAAAGCCTTCTTCCATAGTTTGTTGATCTGGGAAACATTCAGGGAATTTCAAATAGAACCCTTTATTTAATCTACTGGGTTAGATTGTTGTCAACAGAAAACAAACACACACTATCCCTGTAGATTAAATAAGGAGTTTACTTCAAAATTCCATGAGGTTTACTTGGAGTGAAAGATACATGAAGATGGACAAGAAGGTATAACAGATGAAATCTTATTGACAATAAACAACACAGCTGAGAAATTAAATCATTTCCATTTTTTTCATTGAATAAAAGTAGAATTTTACCAAAATGTATAACAAGTGAACATTTGGAAAAAATGCTTGTTCATATGACAATGTTAGGTTTAAAAAATATTTCCTGCATCAAAACATCCTAAATTATTTCAATTTCAAATTGTTAAAAATAAACTCTGAAGCATTTAAACTAAATAGAGACAAACAAAATAAAATTCTTAAAGTAAATTTTCTTAAAATTAAGTGGTTCTTTAATTATAAAGAAAAAGTAAATAGAATACCTTTGCCAAGTTTGTGTTTTTCATGTTCCTTCAGATCTTCTTCAGGAATTCCTTCCATGCCATAAATTTCTATTTCTATATTATTGCGACCAGGCAATGCATTTGGAACTTTATCAACTTTTTCCTTGTGGACCTGCAGAAAAAGAAATTAAACTTTAGCTATGAAAAGCAACCAAAAAACTGAAGATTCTTTCTTTTGCAGAATCAGCCAAATTCTTCTGATCTACAACGAAATGCTAACAATAATTCAAGCCAGCCTGTTGCTTAAAATTTGCAATGTCTAAACAAGTTTCAAAAGGAGTTTCTGCACATGTGGCATGAAAACTATCTTCTTTTCCTAATGCAGTTGTTTCCAAATTTTTTAAATACCATTCTAAAAAGAGAATTTTTTTTGATATTTTACTTGTACACAAATTCCATTCAAATTTTTATTTACAACAAGCAACAATTTACATGAGAAATTCACATTGCCATAACAATGATTTCTGAGCTCAAGAAATAATCAAGAATTATATGGCCAAATGAAAATTGAACTTAAAATGTAAGCAAACAATTTTAAATTTATGTATTTATATATAGTTAATGCGATTTTTGATGGATGAACAAATCCCTTAAAAGAAAAGGGACTTGAAATTTTTTCCAAGGTGGTTCAGAAAATAAGAAACAAATGGCAATAACAGGTGAAATAGGGATGTAGAAAGTGGTGCCAACAATTTCTTTGGCTGACCCACTACCTTAAAACTGACCAAACAGCACAAGCTTTTTGGAAAAGGTTTCACTGAGAACTCTTCAGCAAACCTCATAAAATGAATATAAAGGTGGGTGGAGTCTAAAAATGTCTCCCTTATTACGGTCCAAAGAATTTAAAATTCTATTCTAAAGCAATTTTAAGTTTGTAATTTTGCAGGAGTAGATGGACCAATTTTCTGTTTCAAATTTTCCTTAATTTCCTTTTGGGTTTTAGGGAATTCTGGTTTTTTTTTGTTTTCAGTATAGATTTCCGTTTTTGCTTCATTATAATACTTAGTGAGAAAGTAACAATATATATAAAAAAAAAAAAAAAAAATTGTAATCTCCCCTAATTCCAAGTTCTTGTGCCAGACACAAAAACTTAGTTTAGAAGGAATAGTAAAATAGTCGAATAGGCGCAAAATTACAAAACAAGTTTTAAAAGGAAAACATTTATTTATACAATTATGAAAAAGGTAAAATACAAAATTTACACAAAAATTTCCTTTCGTGTGTCTATTAAGGCAGGATAACAATTTCAGATAGAAAGGACAACAATTGAAAAATGGGGGGAAAAAAAATTACAGTTTGGGAAAAGACAAAGATTTTGAAAATGACAAAAAGAGGAGAAAATTTAAGGCTGTTAAAAAAAAAAAAAAAAAAAAAAAAAAAAAAAAAAAAAAGGGTGCAACAACCTTTGAGAAAAAAACCTCGAAAAGGCCCACTTTTACTTGCCTTAAATCTCTGGGACATTAAGGTAATGTTCTGAAAAGTTCTTTTTAATTTCACATTTTCATATTTTGGGAAAATTCCTTTTATTTTTGGCTATCCAACTATAGGAGAATTTTCACTTGAACTTCAAAATTTTTTAGAGTCTCTTTGTAGCTGGCCATAACTGGTGCCGGCGCCTTTGATGTTGACTGGCTTTGACCCCTTGCTGTCAAAAAGTCTTCTCACATCTACTGACCTCAGCTCTGTTTATTAAGAAAATTAGGCCCCACTATTCGGGATGTTACTCATTGGTCAGTATATATTGTATCTCATACTTCAGCCCTTAATCTAACTTGATGAGTTTCTGGGACAACCCTTGCAAAGAATTCTGCAATCCTAAATAAGAATTAAGTGAAATTGGCAAAACCTACAGAAAGGTAACAACACAACATCATCTCTAGAGAGAAAAAGCTACATTATCATTTAGTCACTTTATTGAAATTATTAAATAACATTTTTGAAAAAAGTCTAATATGTAAAATTTGGCTTGCTTTCTGAAATGATAAACTCTCTACCACTAATAACAAGCCAGATATCTTAATTGTCATTCAATTTAAACCTTATACCTTAAGAAAAAACAAACAAACAAAAAAGTTAAAGATTACAACTTCTTTGTATAGACACCAAAAGGATTAAGACTGAATATATTCTCTTCAGAAAAAGCAGGTGATCTGCTAGGGCCAAAGATCAGCTTTGACATTTCGGTTCCCAAGCTGCCTATCAAATTAAACTAGACCCCACCAAACAAAAAACATTTTGTAACTTGACAAAACAAAGTTAGTCTCTAATCAGAAATTTACTCCCCTCCCACTCCAATGCCAGATAAGAAACTAAATCCATTAGAAAATGAAAATCAACATTACTGATAAAGTTTTCAGTTCAACAAATAGGGGAGAAATCTGAAGAGATTTGATTAGAGAAAAAAAAAAAAAAAAAAAAAAAAAAAGAGAGAATAAAATTATAAAATATCAGGTTTCCAATTTGTTTTGCAGCCAGACAGGAACAATTGTTTCTTTTAAGGTCAGGAAAAAAAAAAGAAAAAAAGAAGACAATTGGAATACAACTTAGTTGAAGTTCATAAGTAAATAACTGTTTATTTAGCATTTGTTGTTAGTATAGGAAAAAAGATCTTTTCAATATTTTCTGAGAAGATATGAAGACAAAAAATGGCTTAGGGTATTTACAAGACAGAAAGCTAAAATCAGCCTGGTGTAATTTAGTTGTTGTTGACAAAAGCCAAGAAAATGCAGACAGCTTTTTGCAACCTTTCCATTACTAATATTTTCACTAAATAGACAACCTTTGGGAAATAGAGGAACACCAGTTAGTGAAATACTTGTAAAAATTCAAATGTTACTCTTGCCCTTTAATAAGGAGATTCTTTTAATATAACCAACAAAGTGAAGTAATGAAATGCTATTCTATATAATGTGTGTGCACTTAAAGCGAATAGACATCAAGGCTCAGTTAAGAATGGACAGTGCCCAAGTCAGTTAAAAAGTAAGGTTACCAAAATATTCCATTAAAATAGAAACCTTTGATGGTTTTGCCATAGATGATATCACAAGTGAATGTTTTTAAGTAAATTTCTTAAAATAAAAATAAAAAAAATTTGCAAAGAGTAAACAAATTAGTAAAATAGTTTTTCTGCAACAATAACACACAATTTCATAGAAAGACTCACTCTAACTAGAGATGGGCGGTTTAACAAAAAAAAACAAAAAAAAAACAAACTTTTTTTCAGTTTCATCTTCACACTGTAAAACCACATCGAAAGTTTTTATGAAACCGTTTCTTTTTGTTTTTTTATTTTATAAAAAGAAATAAAGAAAAAGAAAGGGAAATATGACATGTCTAAAATCTATTCGTTTCAGTTTAAAAAAAAAAAAAAAAAAAAAAAAATTTGTGGTAAAATTAAGTTAACAACAAAATAGCACGAAAATAAAAAAAAATAATATTTGCTGTTTCATCTTAATGTTAACTTATGAAGTTGGATTTTTTTGTCAGAGTTTTTCTAGTAAGCCAGTATGCCAATCATAAAATAAAGTTGTTGTAAACAAGAAAAATAAATGAAAATCTTTTTTTTATGAATAAATTTGTTTTTTATCTATGGTATGCACCTAAATTAAATATTAATAATTAAAATAGTTCTTAATTTCACTTGTAAAATGTGTATATGTAAGTCTCGAGTGTAAAACTGTTTGTTTTCTACAAATAAAATTATATCCTCTATCTAGCAAATAATACACCTAAAATTAGGTATTAAAAAATTAAGTTTTAATTTCAGTTTTAAAATGTGTAGATTTTCAAAACAGCAAGTCAATTTTTTTAAACCCAAAATAAAAATTATTCTTTTTTAGCCACTAGTGCTCGGTAGGTGTTCTGCCTAAACTTCTTCTAAACAACGAAAATGAATTCATTTTATTTTTACAAATATCTTTTATGCTTCTGGTGAATACACTTATTAAAATAGCTTTTAATTTCAGTTTTAAAATGCATATCTAAAAAGAACACGTGATACCCACAGATTTGGAAATATACACAATCTAAAGATTAAATTAAAAGCTTTTAAATATTTTTAATATTTAATTTTAAGTCTATTTGCTAGATAAAAACAAATTTATTTGGGGGTGGGGGAATAACTCATTGATTTTCCTTGTTTTGAAGTAATCTATTTGCAAAACCCCAATAACAGTTGACTGGCATACTAGAAAAGAATTGCTGTATTTTTAATTATTTTAAACATGAGAGGTTTCATATTTTAGGCTTTTTAAAAGCAACATCATAAACTAATTTCTGGAGAGCTATACCATTTTCTTTCTCAAAAACGTGTTGCCCAAAGACACAAACATAGAATAGTTTATGCAACGATTTCTTTCATATTTTACAAATTTGTTAATAAATATGGTAGTTATTTATAATTTATTATAGTTGACCATTTATTTGAAAGCTTAACAAACTTTAATTTAAGTCCTGAATTCTATGACTAAATTACCTTTAAAGTCTAAAAACTGACTTTAGGTGGACAATCCCTACTTTATTACACACTCCAATTTGTCAATTCCAGTGGTCTTTAACGCATGTCTAAAAAACACTTGAAAGTCAAAAAGTTTGGGGCGTTTATTTTACGTGACAAGACAGCAGTTTCAATAATTTGAAAAAAAAAATTACCACACATACTATCAGTTACATTTTTTTTTTTTTTTTTCAGCTTACTTTATAATTTTTGAAGGAATTTGCTTTCACGGGTCAGAGAAGAAAGGAACATTTTCCTGCTCGTGTTTAAGGTGTCTTCTAATTTAGTGTACAATTTGAAGAATAAATATTGATAAAGATTGGTCACTTTGATTTTGCGAAACAAAGTAATGTGTAAAAATTTAGTCTATATAAAAAAAAATGTTTCGCATTTTTGGCTGTTTGAAGCAAAATACCATTTTAACTTGCTATAAAAAAAATAATTCGATGAATAAAAGCACATAAAATTACATATTTAAAAAGATTATTTTCTTTCTAGCCATATGAATATTTTTTTTTTTTAAGATTGGACCAGAAATACATGAGAATTTGTGAGCTGAACAGACTAAGTTGCAAATTTATCAATCTCAAACAAAGTCAGATATTTACTGCAAATGC